TGGTTCGCACGTTGGCTCAAGTCTAAAAACCTTTGACTGCCGCTGCTGCTGCCGCACGATGTCTGTCCTCCGGGGCCCCAGGGAGGCCCCCTGGGCCCCCTCCGAGGCGGGGTCGGTCGACGCCCAGGCCGGGAGCAAGCGCGCGAGGCTCCCATCGATCGCCGAGGGGTCTGCTGACGGCGAGACGGCTCCATCTCCCGAGGAGTCGAGGCCAGCGTCCGAGTCGGGGGCTGGGGCTCAGGTGCCAGGAGATTCGGGCCTCCCCACGGCGGAGGAGCTTTCCTCTCCTGCTCCTCCCTCGTCTTCTCCTCCTCCTTTCCCTCCCTCGCCTTCTCCTGGGGATCCAGCTGCCCGAGGACGTTCTGGTTTTCATCCGCAGGCTCCGAACGGCGAGCAGCCCGCCGCAAGTCCAGCGGGCCAGGATCGAGGAAGGGGAGCTTCCCCGGTCGACTCCTCCCTCCTCTCCTCCCGGGCTTCCCGCCCCTGTCGGGGCCGTCGCTCCTCCCCCTCCTCTCCTTCCTTCGGCCCGGAGGTGTCGGGCCCCTCTCCCCCGGCCGAGGCGGGGGCCGAGAGGCGGGTGCCCCCTCGAGCCGAGGCCCGGAGGTCGGTCTCGGACCTCGCGCGAGATTTCGAGGGCGGCAGGGCGCGGGGCCGCGGCGGGTCTCCGCGCAACCTGCCGGCGGAGGAGGAGGAGGAGGAGGAGGAGGAGGAGGAGGAGGAGGAGGAGGAGGAGGAGGAGGAGGAGGAGGAGGAGGAGGAGGGGGGGGAGGAGGAGGAGGAGGGCTCAGGAGTTTTTCCTCCTCCCCGGCGGTGAAGCCTCCCCAGCGGTGAAGGCGTGGTCCGGGCGGCCCAGGACAACCGGGGCCCAGGGCTGCCGGGCGACTGGGCTGGACTGCTTGGGGATCCGGAAGGGAGCTTCGCGGCTAGTATGGGGGGGCGAGAGGTGTGCCTGGAGAAGCTTTCGCCAGCCGAGCGAGAGAAGTTCTGGGTTTCGGACAACGACGAATGGAAGGCCATGCTGGGCACCGGAGCTGTCGTCGTCATTCCCTTGGCCAAGGCCGATGTTGTGAGGATGTGTCAGCCTGAGCGGATCATCTCGAGCCGGATGGGTGCGGCGTTGGAAGCCCGTCGAGGGCACTGTCGCAGAGCCTTCGGCCAAGTCAAGATGGTGCATCCGCGGCCATATGGGTTCCGACTCAGGATCCCTGCAAGTGTATGCACCCACGCCCCAGACCAACAGCATCATGACGTTTGCCCAGGTGCTCATGAATGTGGGCATGCTGGCGGACACTGCGGACGTCAAGAACGCCTATTGTCAGTCCGACCCGACGTCCCGCTCTCGGGGCGACGTCCTGCTGCGCATGAGTGCATGCGGACTGGGCGACGCTCCAGTGGTCTGGAGACGCACAGCGGTTGAATTCCTGGAACAGCACGGGTTCTTTGGTGTTTGTTGGAGCCGTGTTGGTGGCCGCGTTACGGGTAGCGGGGCGAGATCTTGAACGTTGTCTTCCTGGAGGCTGACGATTTCCTCATCTGGAGCTCTACGACAGCGTCCAGGAAGTGGCCCCGTGATCTCCTAGAGAACCGATTCAAGTTTGTCTAGTATCGGGACTGCCACAGTGGCCCAGTAGACTTCGCCGGACGGCGCGCGACCGTAGGACCCCGCAAGGCCGCGCTCGACCAGGAAAAGTACATCGTGGAAGAGATCAAGACTCTTTCGGTTGCTCGTGGTCGCCTGGTTCGTAGGGGTACCCCACTAGATCTGTCTGTGTTCCGTGCCTTCCGTTCCCTGGTCTACATGTTTAACTGGGTCGGCCGGGAGACGAGGCCGGAGGCGGCCGGAGTGGCAAGCATCGTTGCCAGCCGGCTAAAGGCCCCCACGACCGGCGACATCTCTGCGGCCAACAAGCTGGTTCTCCACCTCCGCTCAACGGCACCCCGGGGCCTCGCCGTCCGGAAGCTGCCCCCGGAGCGCATGGCGTTCATCTCGTTCTCGGGTGTGGGGTGCGTGGGAGCTTTTGACAGCGTGGTGGACGATGCGGGGCCCCCCGAAGACTCTACCCAGGGTGCCTGGCTAGTATTGGCTGCCGACAGCGACGTCCTCGAGCATCGGTCGGTCGAGGTATCCCTGCCAGGCTGGCGGAGCTCCGAGCTCGGACGGAAGGCGCCATGCGCGCTAGCAGGCGAGACGCAGGGTGGAGTACCTTCAGATCCTGTATTTCGATGCTCGTTTTGGGGACCTTCCTGGGGACCACCTCATGGATCTGTTCGAATCAGGTTCGACTCAAGTTCGACTCAGGTTCGACTCAGGTTCGACCCAGATTCGACTCAGGATCGACTCAGGTTCGACTCAGGTTCGACTCAGGTTCGACTCAGGTTCGACGCACGAGTGAAGCGAGTGGCTCCAGGAAAGTCCCCAGAATGAACATCTAACTGTATCGTGATGTTCTGTTTCGGGACGCCGATGTCGAAGATTGTTATCGTGGCTCGGGACCATTCACTACGGTACTTAGGAGGGACTGGAGACTCGGATCTCGTGAGCGTCAAGTCCATGTCGTCGATGCCAAGAGCATCTGCGACACAATGCTTAAGGATGGGAGCGCTGGCGCCCGTGACCGGCGCACCGCCATTGACTTTGTCATCATTTGCCAGGCCCTAGAAGCTGATGGACGTGTCCACTGGATACCTCACGGGAGGATGCCGGTGGATAGTCTGACGGAGGACGACATCACAAAGGGGAGCGCGGCACTGTTTGTCCTTATGGTCAGCGGGAGATTCATTTTGGGCGACCAGGGCGCCGAGGTTGAACGCCGCCGCCAGGCTCCCGAGCTGAAGTGTCGCTTTCAGTCGGCATCTCGCACACTTCTGGATGCCCAACTTGTGTCGTGGCAGAAGTTCTGGGCCCCGACCCAGGAGATCGTCGGCCCAGGGGTCGGTGGTGGCGGTGGTGGTGATTCCTCCCCCTCCTCTTCTCTCGCCCTCTGCGCTCTTTCAGAGACCGTCTTTCAGTAATATCATGTGTGTTGTTTTTCCGGCGTTTCTCCGTTTTGAGTTTCCCCCTGGTCGTCGTCATAGCGACGTACTGCCTGGCGCCCGTGGTTGCTTAGGCCCGGCGTTCGGGACAGGAACACCTAGGAGAAAGACCTGCCTGTGAAGCAGGCAGGCAGATACTTCAGACAAGTTTTAAAGTAGGTGTTGGAGCAAGGTTTTCGTCCGCTCCGACGCACTTGGCTCAAGGGAAAAACATTTACTGCGCTTGCTGCTGCCACGTGGCCTGCAGTGCTGGCCCTCGTCCGCCCTGTCCGACGACTGCGCGGGGCCAGTTCGTCGGAGTGAAAACAACAGTTCGTTCAATCATACTCCTACACCCTGTAGTACTCCTGCTTTGTTAGGGTGTTTAGGAGCGAATTCCAGGGAAGTCTCGAGCGGAACCTCGTTTTCTGCGCCGCAGCCCCATCAGAAACCTCCCGTCGGGTGGACCAATCTTCGGTCTCGTCAAAATCATTCCCACGGTCATCATCACCATCATTATCGTCAGACCCATCATGGCATCGAAATGGATGCGGGAGAGGTTCGGGCTGGGCAAAGCGCAACGTTTCATTGGCCGCATTGGTCCGTTTGCCTTCCTTGTGGCATTGCGCATTTTTGGGGTTGAGGCGTGCGCTCGGTTTCATGTGCTGTGTTGGCGGGGGTGTTTCCGCAGCGGCCTTATCTCTGAAGGATGGCGTAGAACTTTGCTGCCGAAGCACAATGGGAATCTCCATGTCGGCTCAAGCCACAGGGCAGGACTGCCTGGTGACCACAGAACCTGCGGGGTGCGCGGACTCTACTCTGCTTCTGGTGACGTACGTTCGCGCTGGAATCGCAAGGCTTTGGTGGCCTGCGGCGTCCTGGCAAATTTTGTTTATTTTGATTGAATGCGAACTGTTGATGCAGTTGGTTGTTTAATGTCTGGTGCACGTAGATTTCACGGCTGATGCGAAGGTCAGTTGCAGCGGCGGTGTTTCAATACATGACATTGGTGTCGTTCCAAAGTTGCAGGTTTTAATGGGGTTGGCCGACCGCGAGGTTCTTCTCATACGTCAGAGGTGTGTGGATGGGTTGAAGCGGGGTGGGTGGGGTACCGAGGGGGCTTAGCCACACTATAAGACTGCTCGTGTCGCCCCACGTGGATCAGTTGAGTGACCTCGTGGTGTCGTTGTCATAATGACAACCTGTGCTCCACATTACCTACCGCACGTGAGGGCTTCACGCTGGGATTATCCGCGGTGGGGAACTGTCAGTAGTAGGGGGAGTAGACGGACGGTTCCCCACATAACAAAAGGAGGAAAACGAAGAGGAGGAGGAGGAGGAGGAGGAGGAGGAGGAGGGGGAGGAAGAGGAGGATTCGGAGGAGGAGGAGGAGGAGGAGGATTCGGAGGAGGACGAGGAGAAGGAGGAGGAGGACGAGGAGGAGGAAAAGGAGGAGGAGGAAGAGGGACGAATATGGACGAAAATGATCACGACGGCGGAAAGCGATTTGGGGGTTGTGGCGGTTGTGGTGGTGGTGGGGGACACGGAATACGTGGAACTGATGAGGACAAGAAGGAAGAGGCAAGAGGAGGAGGAGGAGGAAGAAGAAAAGGACGAGGAGGAGGGGGAGGAGGAAAAGGGTGCAGGAGCAGGAGCTGGAGAAAGGAGGGGGAGGGGGAGCGGGCGGAGACCGAGGGGGATGGGGCAGTGCCCGGAGGCCTCGGCAGGCCCAAGCAGGGTTCCGAACCGTCGAACGTCTGCATCCTCGGAGCTCGAGTCCCGAGGAGGAGGAGGAGGAGGAGGAGGAGGAGGAGGAGGAGGAGATGGAGGAGGAAGGAGGAGGAGATGGAGGAGAGGAGAGGAGGAGGAGGAGGAGGAGATGGAGGAAATGGAGGAGGAGGAGGAGGAAGAGATGGAGGAGGAGGAGGAGGAGGAGGAGGAGGAGGAGGAGGAGGAGGAGGATGAGGGGGAGGAGGAGCGGCAGCCAGGCGCAGTGCCTGCACAGCCTCTCGGCGACGACGCAGGGCGGCGACCGGGACCACCTCGCCCCGGAGGCGGCGGGGTCGCGGCTTCTACTTTGGTGCTCTCCTCTTCCTCCCTCCCCTCGCCTTGCGTCCCTTGCCTCTCCCCCTCCTCCTCTTCCTTCCTCCTCCTCGTCTCGTCTCGTCTTGCCTCTTCTCCTCTCCTCTCCTCCTCGCCTCTCCTTGCTGCTGTGCTCGCCTCCCCCCCTCCCTCGCTCAGCTGCTTCCTCCCCTGCCCTGCCTCCTCTTCTTCCAGTAGTCCCCTGCCCTCCCCTCATTCCTTTCCACTCCTCACCTCCATCCCTCCTCCTGACCTCAGTTCCTCTGTCGACGGTTTGTGTGTTCTCCCCCTTTTCTTGCATCCACACCTCTTGGGAACGCTTCATCTTTCCTCTGCTGACGCCTGAGCTGCCCTTCCGAAGGTATTTTTTGCACACCCCGTAGCTGCATGTTTTCGTCCCTTCGGCAGACGTTTCTCCCCTGCGGCCGCCCCGTCGGGTACTTACAGGGAGGGAGGGAGGGAGGGACCTCCACCAGACCCAAAACGGGTTTGGTGCCATGGCGCGGATTCAGAGCACGAGGGAGGGAGGGAAGGGTGGTTGGCATGCTCTCATTGAGGTGGCCTTCGGGCGCTTCAGACGCAGCTTCCTTTAGCGTGGGGCCACGGCCGTCTGTGAAGGCTGGGAAGCGTCCGTGCTCCGAAGGCTCTGGTCCATCATCCACCGCTCCAGAGCGGTGCTCTGAGATCTCGAGGAGCGGTGGATATGGCCATGTTCTGGCGGCGCACGTGGAAGCCAAGCCGCCTGCGTTGAAGGGGGCCATGGGGGAGCTGCGGGAGCAATGACCCCAGCTCCAGCCAGCTCCTCCACCCAATCCCAGGCCAACAGCGAGGCAGCTCAGGGTGAAGTCGGGTCTGTCCCTCTACAGGAGGAATATTCAATGATACCAGAGAAAAATCCCAATCAGGTTTTTGTTGGGGCTATCGGGCTATAGGACTGCAGGGCTAGAGGGCTATGGGGCTATAGGGCTATATGGCTATGGGGGTATACACAGCCGGGAGAAAAGTTATAACAAAATCCACAAGGTGATCATCTTGAATGGTCTACAGACGGCAATGCCCAAAGAGGACCATTAAGTGAGAATCGCTTTTCAATGTTGGCAGCGTGCGCAGGCGTGGAACATGGGCCAGCTCATCGATATGCCTTGCTGTGGCTTGCGCGTCGGGTGGCAACAGTGGGAGGCGAATGCCACTTAACGCCCGGGGGCTCTTCCAAGTTCATCCGTCACAGGGCCGCCGGCGTGGGCGGTTCCACGTTTTGCCATGCGCTTTCGTTCCTACAGTCCGACGGCTGACATGCAACGCGCGGTGCAAACGAGACGTTCTTCCGCAACGTTGACAGGTGTACGTCGCTTGATGCGACGGGCCCCGACTGGTCTGATTCAACATCGTTTTGGCTTACATCCCTCTCCCACTTTTGGTATAAACTTTGTTCACCGGGATGTAGTGCTATAGGGCTATTGGGCTATGGGGCTATACGGGCTATAGGGCGATAGGGCTATAGGGCTATAGGGCAATTGGGCTATAAGGCCATATGGGCTATATGTGCTAGTGGGCTATTGGGCGATTGGGCCATAGAGCTATAGGGCTATAGGGCTACATGGCTATCAAGTACCCGGGCACCCTTGGGCACCTCTGGGCACCCCCGAGGACCCGGGCACCCACGGGCATCCGGGCACTCGGGCACCCGGCCACCGGCCACCGAAATCCTGGGGCACTGGGCGCACACGCGCACCCGGGCACCCGGCCACTGGCCACCAAATCGGCGCCCCACCTCGCCTAACCATGTGAATCCGCTAGGACCCCTACAGAGGCAAGCTCTGACGAGGGAAAAATAGTAGAACAACTGTCTGGGACCATTTTTAACTATGTTTGGGCATTTTCAATTTCTCGTCCAAAATCCCCCTGTAGGGGGACAGGCCCGACCTAAGCTCAGGGACTCCCCGCGGTGCGGGGGGCCGACCAGGCAGAGAGCGCTTGCCTGGCGCTCGTCCGATCCCACCTGTACTGCCTGGCCGTCGCACTTCGCAGGCACGAGACGGCGGCAGGAACGGGGGGGAGGGAGCCACCGCAGGAGGAAGGGAGAAGGGACGAGACCGTGTGGAGGAAAACCCTGCCCGACACGAGCCGCCCATCCGGTGAGCCGGGCAAGGGGGGGGAGGACGGACGAAAACCAAGCTCCTGCAAACGGGGCGTTAGTAAACGGGCTTGTAGCCAAGGATGCGTTTTCAAGGGTGCTCTCAAGATATTCATTTGCCGCGCACAAGTGCGAGGTAACCCCCCCCGCCAATAGTTATGATGATGTATCGACGCCTGTGTCGTCCCGATTTATCATGCTAGTGCGAGGCAACCGCCCTGTCGCCCCGTTCCCGCTTGAAGAGGCCCATTAGCTGCCACCCCGCTGAGTAACGCCCCGTTTGCAGGGGCTTGGGAAGAGAGAAAGACGTAGTCCCAGACCCCCGACGTAGTGATTTTTTTTTGGACGTAGCCCCCGGGAGCCTGGACCCCTTCCCGGGGACCGGTTTTTCATCCCGACTCGTTTTTTTGAAGGTCACGAGGCCCGGCGAGGGCCCCCAGAGGCCGAAAGTAGCGAAAACCTCCCGCTACGATTTTTTCACGACCCGAGGGGGTCTGGGGATCTTTCGCTGCCGGCGGCCGCCAACAGAAGCGGCCGGCCCCTTCAAAAATAGTCAAAAATAGTTTGGGGTCGATTTTCCTGAATGTTTTGTTGCTATGTTGCAATTTTCGCCGAAAATCCGCCTATAGGAGGACATGCCCGACCTAAAACCAGGGGGGCTTGGATATCATGGGAGGGGCCATGATATCTCCCCAGATCTCATGGCGCCTCTTCACATTTCAGTCCGTCCCCGGCCCCCCCCCCTTGGCCGAGCACATGCCGCCAGCCATGATTTGCGACCCCCCCCCTCTTGGACTCCCCTCTCTCGGCCGCCTTCGACTCTCCGCGGACCCTGAGATCCTGGCGTGGCATTTTTTTCATGCCGGGCGTTTTTGCTCGTTTTCGGGCCCCGGGGCCCTCAGGGGTCGATCCGGCTCGAGAAATGATGCAGACAGACGGGGTCTGGGGCTCCGGTATTGGACGCCCCCCTCCCTCACCGAGCGCGCTCCACTCCTCGCAAAGTGCCTGCTCGCAAACGTCCGACAAAAACACCCCTCTGCTTCGAATTGATTCCTCGTGGGTCCCTGGCGGGGGATCCAGGCCAACTGCGAGCAGTTACTTTGCGAGTCGTGGAACGCGCTCGTCGACTCTCGGACTCGCAAAGTGCCTACTCGCAAGCGTCCGAGAAACACCCCTCTGCTTCGACGTGATTTGTCGTAGCTCCCTGGCGGGGGATCCGGGCCATTTGCGAGTATAGTTACTTTGCGAGTCGTGGAGCTAGGGGGCCACATGCGAACCCCACCCCTGCCCCCCACGATTTCGTGAGGGGGAGGGTGGGGTTCACTTCGCTCTGGAGCTCCCGAACGAAGTGAACCCCACCCTCCCCCTCCTCCTCCTCCTCCTCCTCCTCCTCCTCCTCCTCCTCTATCCTCCATCCTCCTCCTCCTCCTCCTCCTCCTCCATCCTCCATCCTCCTCCTCCTCCTCCTCCTCCTCCTCCTCCTCTCCTCTCCTCCTCCTCCTCCTCCTCCTCCTCCTCCTCGCCCCTTCGCGTGTGGCCCCCTTAGGAGCGCGCTCGCCGACTCTCGCCCCCCCCCCCGACGGAGAGCGGGGAGGGCCGGGCCCGCGCGCGCCGCCCACAGTGGTGCGCGCGCGCGGCCCGCCGCGCGGCTGCCACGCCCGGTCGTACACATGTACACCTTAGGCGATGCTTAAGAAAACTTAAGTTTTCGGCCAGAGTCTCGATTATTCTTAATGCTTCAATGTAAATCCCCAGATTTTAACAGAAGCTCTGTTTTTTGATTCAGATTCTGAGACTACGAATTTCTTAACCCATGATTTCTTAAGCATTTCGCAGGGTGTACACGTGTATCTGGGAGCGGCCGGTGCGGCACAGCTGTAGAAGAGACCCCCTGTCCCTGATTGCTGTTTCTGGCCCTCCTAACTAAGTTAAACTTAAGTCGCCTAAGTTAAACTTAGGTCGCCTCCCAAAGGATTAGATGGGGTGCTTCTTCGCCCAAGCACCCGGGGACACGGGAAGGGAAGGATTCAGAGCCTGTTCGCCGCTGGGGACACAAGCCTGCCTCCGCGCCGAGGATCGACGAGGAAACAACGCGAGAAACATAATATTCTGGCGCTCCGCGCAGCTCCAAGAAATCCGCGCGGAGCTCCGAAAGTTTATGCTTGTGGCGTTTTTTCCTGGGAAATGTTTAATGTTTCATCCGCGTTTAATGTTGATGTTAATGTGAATGTTAATGTTAAGGTTACGGTTAATGGTACTGTTAATGTTAATGCTCATGAACATGTTAATGTTAATGGTAATGCTAATGTTAATGTTAATGCTAATGTTAATGTTAATGCTAATGTTAATGTTAATGTTAATTTTAACCTCAATGTTTAATGTTTAAGAATTAATCCGCGTTGGAGCTCCAAGAAATCCGCGCGGGGGCCTGGGACAGGTGGCCGAGGCCAGCCAGACGTCCTCGCGACCTGCTCGACGAGCGCTGACCCAGCAGCCCTACGGAGGGGCGGGGAGCCTCCCGTGCTTGAGGGCGCGGGCGAGCTCCCGGCCCAAGGGGGCGAGCCCAAGGCTGAGGACCGGGAGCGGCCTCGGGCGCCGGCCGCCCTGCTGCCGCAGCCGCGGCCGCGCAGCTCCGCCTCGCAGCGCTCCCCTTCGGGTGGATTCGGGCAGCGCCTCGTGCTGGCGCCTCCTCCTCCTCCTCCTCCTCCTCCTCCTCCGCCTCCTCCGCCTCCGCCTCCTCCTCCTCCTCCTCCTCCTCCTCCTCCTCCTCCTCCTCCTCCTCCTCATCTATCCTCCTCCTCCTCCTCCTCCTCCTCCTCCTCCTCCTCCTCCTCCTCC